GACAAATTGTGTGACAGAAAAAAGTGGGCGGAGCCTAGACTGGTTATAAATGACTGGAATTTTCTGGATTCTAAGCCTCATTTTCTTATCAGGAAACTTTTCTTTCTTATCAATTGGCAACTTTCAGCATTGTACTTTCAAACTTTTTTTTGCCCAAAAACTCAACTTCTCAAATTTTCAGTGATGTCTCGCGAACTTATGGTTGCCGACGGTGGCGAAACTATCGGAAACACGCCGTTGGTCCTTCTTCGGAATATTACGAAAGGATTGGATGCGAGAATCGGTATTTGTCGGCCAAATTTCAGAAGATAGATTTTTTCAGCCGTAAAAATCGAGTACCTGAATCCGTCGTGTTCTGTGAAGGATCGAATCGCAAAATCGATGGTGGATGAGGCGGAAAAGGCGGGACGAATTGTTCCCGGGAAAACGGTGCTTGTGGAGGGAACTAGTGGAAATTTGGGAATCGCGTTGGCTCATATTGGAAAGATTCGCGGGTGAGTGGTTTTGAGATTCTGAAATTTTGAGATTCTTGGATACCTGGATTTATGAATTCCTTGATTCCTTAATTCCTAGTTTCCTAGATTCCTTGATTTCTAGCTTCCTAGATTCTAAAATTCTGAGATTCTTAGAAGATTCTAAGACTCTGAGATTCTAAAATTCTGTTATCCTGATATTCTAAAATTCGAAATTCCAGGATTCTTGTATTTTAGGATTCACAGATTCTTAGATTCTAGAATCCACGGATTCTTGAATTCCGGGATCCATGGATTCTCAGATTCTCGGATTCTCGGATTGTCGGATTCTCGGATTCTTGGGTTCTCGGAATCTCGGATTCTCGGATTCTCAAATTCTGAAATTCTAAGTTTTCAGAAATTCAGATTCTTAAAGTTTGAATTTTTGAAACTTTGAGATTCTGAGATTCTGAGATTTTGAGAATCTGAGATTCTGAGACTGACATTCTGAGATTCTGAAATCTTAAGATTCTGAAACACTGCGATTCTGAATTTTAGAATTTTTAAAATTCTAAAATTCTGAAACTCTGAATTTCCGAAGTTTAAGGATTTCGAGATTCTAAGTTTCCCTTATACTCGGATTCTGAGATTCTGAGATTCTGAGATTCCTAGATTTTTAGATTCCCAGATTCCTAAATTCTTAGATTCCTAGATTCTGAGATTCTGAGATTCTGAGATTCTGAGATTCTGAGATTCTGAGATTCTGAGATTCTGAGATTCTGAAATTCTGAGATTCTGAGATTCTGAGATTCTGAGATTTTGAGATTCTGAGATTCTGAGATTCTGAGATTCTGAGATTCTGAGATTTTGAGATTCTGAGATACTGAGATTTTGAGATTTTGAGATTCTGAGATTCTGAGATTCTGAGATTCTGAGATTCTGAGATTCTGAGATTCTGAGATTCTGAGATTCTGAGATTTTGAGCATCTGAGATTCTGAGATTCTGACATTCTGAGATTCTGAAATCTTAAGATTCTGAAACACTGCGATTCTGAATTTTAGAAATATTAAAATTCTAAAATTCTGAAACTCTAAATTTCCGAAGTTTAAGGATTTTGAGATTCTAAGTTTCCCTTATACTCGGATTCTGAGATTCTGGGATTCTAAGATTCCGAAATTTTGAGATTCTGAGGTTTTGAAATTCTGAGATTCTGAGATTCTGAGATTCTGAGATTCTGAGATTCTGAGATTCTGAGATTCTGAGATTCTGAGATTTTTAGATTTTGAGATTCTGAGATTCTGAGATTCTGAGATTTTGAGATTCTGAGATTCTGAGATTCTGAGATTCTGAGATTCTGAGATTCTGAGATTTTGAGATTCTGAGATACTGAGATTCTGAGATTTTGAGATTCTGAGATTCTGAGATTCTGAGATTCTGAGATTCTGAGATTCTGACATTCTGAGATTCTGAAATCTTAAGATTCTGAAACACTGCGATTCTGAGATTCTGAGATTCTGAGATTCTGAGATTCTGAGGTTCTGAGATTCTGAGATTCTGAGATTTTGAGATTCTGCGATTCTGAGATTCTGAGATTCAAACATTCTGAGATTCTGAAATTCTGAGATTCAAACATTCTGAGATTCTGAGATTCTGAGATTCTGATATTGTAAGATTCTGAGTTTCCGAAATTTGAAGTTATGAACATCTGAAATTTTAAGATTTTGAATTCCAGATACAAAGTGATCCTCGTAATGCCGGAAACCATGAGTGTCGAACGTCGTGCCATGCTTCGTGCCTATGGAGCCGAAGTGATCCTTTCCGACCCGATGGAAGGCCATCCAGGAGTCATCAAAAAAGTAGAGATGCTTTGTGAAAAACTTACGAATGCAATCTGTTTGGATCAGTTTTCAAATCCAGCCAACCCAGCAGCACACTACCGTACCACAGGTCCAGAAATCTGGCGCCAAACTCAGGGAAAAGTGGATATGGTCTGTTTTGGAGTTGGATCAAGTGGAACGCTCACTGGAGTCGGACGATATCTCAGACAACAAAATCCAGACATCAAAATTTATCCAGTGGAGCCGTATGAAAGCTCCGTGTTGAGCGGATTTCCGAGAGGAAAGCATAGAATTCAGGGTAAGTTATTTTCAGAAAAAATCTATAGATATGTAGTTCAAAGAACTTAACTTTTCTTCAGGTATTGGTGCTGGCATCATTCCTGGCAACGTGGATCGTTCCTGTTCACCGAAGTCATACGTGTCAAATCCGATGACGCGATGACAATGGCACGTCGGCTCGCTGACGAAGAAGCCATCCTCGGTGGCATCTCATCTGGAGCCAACGTGGTCGCCGCCGTGGAGCTGGCACGTCGTCCCGAGAACAAGGGAAAACTGATTGTGACCACTGTGAATAGTTTTGCCGAGCGATACTTTACTACGGAATTGTACTCGAATGTTCTGAATGATGTGTCCAAGTTGAAATGGTCCAATGATGAGGAGGCTGTGATGATAGCGAAAAAGTATTTGGGGATCTGAAATTTTACTTGTGCCTGATTTTTTTTATAATCATATGATATTTATTTGACTGAATGAATGAAACTTGTTTCAAATTTTTTGTTAGATGGAACGCGTTCGCTTTTTTTTGAAGAACTGAAGAGCCGTTTTTCGGCAAAATTTAAGACAGATATTTCAGTGATTTCAGAGGTTGTTTTTGGAGTTACGATATGCATTTTGAAGTGACACTAAATAGTGTAGCTCAACCGGTAGCGGCGCGGCATCTCCCACAGTGGGCCCACAAGTTAAGTTCCTCCAAATGAAAAAAACATTTCAAGACTTTTTTTCAGTTTTTATTGAGAATAACTTCAATGAATGATGGTAATATACAAAATTTTTGATGACAACCAAATTTTCGGTAAAAAATATTTTTGAGAAGAAGCGCTCCGCTGAATAAAAAGCTCGCAATGAGAAATTCAAACAATTTGAATAATTTTCTTCGCACAATACATCACATTGATCGGGAAGTATGGCGTTTCCACGACTTGAATTTCTTGAAAACCACACTTGTTCAGCAACTCCACAGCCCGTTT